AATATATCAGGAGCTTCGCATTAAATTTTCACTCTTTTTTACCCAATAAATAAAATTTTATTGATATGTATAGAAAAAAAACTAAAAATATTGAAAACTGACAATGTCCGTAAACAACTCAAAAAGTCAAATTATTTTCAAAATTATATGGTGTACCTATAGAAAATGCTAATTCAGTGAAATTTTCAAGTATTTACAGTCATTCGTTTTTGAATAACAATAAAATAAAAAAACCTCTACAAGAGAAATCGAGTGTATATCAAATGTTGTAAAAATATGAATTTTAAACTCTCATAAAAATTTAATTTGAGTCTTGTAGACTTTTTTTTTTGATACAGGTAGACTAACTTATGAGAGAGAGATCTTGTATAAAATTTTCAAAGCTGACATTTAAAAAGAAAATTTTTTATGAATTTCTAACTCGAAATAATTTTTTCAAATTTTCATCATTTTTTCGTATTTTGTCAATATTAGAACTTTAAATGCTTATAAAAAAAAAGTGTGACTATGGATTTTTAATTTTTTTCATCTGCCTTTGAAACAATATACTAGGAGCCTTATATTAGCAAAAATATTCGAGTACTTTTATAGGTTAATACTATTATATATATATTATATAGGTATCTTAGGTAAATCGTGCTGACGACTCAACGACTGTGATTGTCTAGTGAACTCGTGATCCAGCGCGACGGTATTATATTATTAAGCTGAAAACTTGGAACAATAATAAAATAAAATATCTGGTGGTTAATTCCAAAACGTGGTATTGCCAAAATTTCGAAAATCGAGATAAACATCGATTCTTATGTAAAAGAACACGAGGAATTCAAATCCGGTGCAAAAATCGTTCTAAATCGATTATATCTATGAAAAAAATTCAAAACTTGTTATTGCCTCTATTTGTATCAAGTCAAAACGTGGTATTGCAATGTTCAAACCAAAACGCAGTATTTCCCTTGTTTTTTCTATAGGACTACATTCTATATTAAAACAAAACGTTGTATTGCCATTCTATAATAATTTACCCATTACAGTCATTTTTTATTTAAGTTTTCAGTGTTTATTATATTTAACATTATGATTTATCAGAATATTTTTGTTTTCATGATAATTCAAATTTATAAAAATAGAATATAGGCATTAATTCATATTGTTGATAAATATAACGTGGTTATGTGTTATCAGCCTCATGTATAATATTATTATTAATGGATTAAAATAATAAATTGAGCAAGTGCCAAATTGTAAAAATCCATAATAGGTATACTATTAAATAATTTATTTTCTGTATCTGTATATTTTCTAAAACTATATTATAACAAAATGAGGAGAAAAAGGGATATTTTAAAAGCTGCTTAAGAAGTAAGTACCAACATAAAATATTTTATTAACTACTACAAAAGTATCTATGTTTTCTTGTATGATTATCTCATTTAAAAGACCAAACAAATTAAATTACACATTTTTTTATTATTATAAACATTAATTGAATGTTTCCTACTACCATTAATATAGCTAATTTATTTATATGATTTAATAAATAAACATAGTAAGATGCTATATTATAACTTATAATATATTAATATCATGGCATCTTACTATTTTTGTTATACCTACCTACCTAGGTACATCATTATCTCAGAGATTAAAGATTCTGCCATTTATGTTTATTTTTGTATACCAGTAAAATTTAACAATACCTAAATTTTATTAGAACAACAAGATTTTTATAATGCACAATAGTATACCTACTATTATACTATATCAAATATTATTTTTGTTTAAGCAATCAAAGTCAAGCAATAATTCTGAAGTTAAGATTACAAATATTATGATAGAATATTATAGATTATGATACTCCTGTATATAATGAAGATTTATAAAGCTGCTTTTTAAAAATATATATCAAATTATTCTTAACTTCTAAATAATGAACATAGCAGGTAGCTCAAAATAAAAGACTTAAGAGAACTTATATTGTGATGTGTTTGAAATATTGTTAAACATTTTGTTTTTATTTTTTAAGCCATATATCATTTGTTGATTTTTTTATTTTTAAGAAGGTAGGTAGGTATAAAGTAAAAATATCATTTTAAAAATTTTATTAAAGACTTAAATAAATAATATTATGTTTCAAGTTAGTTATATTATACTGTCAAGTACCTATTTTGTTATTTTTTAAGCAAAATCTTAAATTATGTAAATGAAAATATTAAATTTTTAATTATGTAACTTTAAGAAATGTTCGAGTTGAAAACATTTATATTTTTTACTACTGATTTTTATTAAGTAACAATGTGATCTTTATAATACTACGTTTTATACTTTGTTTTTAATTAATTTACCTATTGCATTGTTCTATGTTTAATAAAACTTATTTGAACTAAATACATTTTCTTTTTCAAACTGAATGATAAAATTACGTTTTGATATAATATCATGTAACAAAATGTATATACAAAATTATTTTTTATTTTAAATTTCGTGAGTTCAAATCAAAACGTGTAATTGCCGGCAAAAACACGTTTTGTACTGAACTTTAGTGATAGTGGGCAAAACGCAAAATCCCCAGCTACAATATTACTCACAATCACATGCAAAAGGTTGAACAAATATATTTTGAACGTTAATTAGTATCTATAATTAATATTTAATGACAAATACGTATAGGTATTATATTCTATTATAATATAATATATTATATTATATTGTTAAAAAAATTATAAAAATATTTAGAATGATCGATACGTCAATTAATAATACAATTAAAAACATAGTATACAAAAATATTATACAAAATACCTATACATTTTATGTTGGTATAATTCTGTAAAAATTGAATCCCCGAGATAAAATATTGTGTAAATTTTTTATAATATTTTTATATACCTACTATGTTTTGAACTGTATTCTTTGATGTTTTGAAAACGTAATATTTTATTTCAGGGATTTAATTTTTACAGAATTATACCAACATAAAATGTGTATTAATATAGTAAAATAAAATGTTTTAGTTAATTTTTCAAAAATTATTTATAGTTATTTATTTATATTATTTTTATTACCTATATTTTGTATAATATTTTTGTATACTATGTGTTTAACTGTATTATTTGACGTATCGATCATTAAAAATATTTTTATATTCTACTAAGTTAGTTATTTAATTTGAATTACACATAATATATTATCGTAATTTAAAACAAAATATTATTTATAATATATAATTTTTTTAACAATATAATATAATATACATATTTGTAATTAAATATTAATTATATATACTAATTAACGTTTAAAAAATATTTGTTAAACCATTTGCATGAGGTTGTGAGTAATATTGTAGTCTGGGGATTTTTTTTCCGGGATTCCATTATAGTACCTACTAGCTACGATTTTTCGACTAGGTATCGGACATCGGTTAACACTCATCAATCATACTCATAATTTTTTTTTCCGTTAGTTTATTTAGCCTTAAACGTTTAAATAAGTAATGTACAACATTACAACCAGAAATTGGTGGGGTACCCTAACAATAATTGTAGTTTCAAAAACTTTCCCACACATAAAAGTCTGATACAAGATGCTAGACAAATAAATAGTAATGGTTGTTTCATGTTTTATATAAGAAAAATCAAAAATTACACACCCCCACACAGTTTTCAAAGCAATTGTGTTCATACTTCATAGGTAATATAGATACCACTCCAATATATACTTACCTATTAATTATTATATTTTACACACGAATCATTCTATTGATTCACGACTTTTAAAGTGTACTCTACTTCAAAATACGGTTGAATAAACTGCTTTTACATTTCTATAGAGAAGAAGAAATAGCAAAACAATTTTTAAAAAAAAAATCATTAGTAATAATATAAAAAATGTATTTATTTTATTATATATAACAACTTTATTAAGCAGACTGTCCACCGTGCGGGTTGCCAAAAGACACAGTATACAAAGTTCAATATTGAAATACATAGGATTGTTAAAAGTTATAAAATTATAGTAAATAAATATACAAATAAAATGTCTATACGTTCCAAATGGATAGTAATTGGTAACAATTTTTATAATTATAATAACTAAATTAATAATAAGTTAATTTTTTGGTAAAAAAAAAAAAACTATTCTATTACATGGGTAATACATGTTATATAAAATTCTTATATAGTCTATATTTCAATAAATTATAAATGGTATTGTTGAATAAATAAAACTAACTTGATATAAGATAAATTAATATGTATGGAACTGATTGATAGGTATTAACATTTAAATTAATAATCATTATTATAATAATTCTATAAAATATGTTAGCATTAACAATTAAGATACTCAATCAATATACCTTATAATGTATAACAGTGTGACTAGAAAGTTTTACAACCCTCTTATTTTGGAGTTCACCATGAAACAGATTACAAAGAACCATTAATCAATTTTCAATTATCCATATGCATTACAAAAATTTAATCATTATCTATGCTTTCTAAACACACTGTATTCAATAACAAATAAATTAAATTCATTAAAATTCAAAATATTTTTTTCCCAATTACCTTTCATTCATCCAATATAGGAAAGCTATCATCAACATATAGAATTTATACATAGTCCCGTACAGAAATGGAATTCATGGTTCATTGAAGTGACAAATCAGACACAAGTTACTGCCTGTTCGTAATATACATATAAGTAATTAAATGTAAACAAATTTTAATAAATTTAATAGTTACTTTTAACCTTGCCTGATATGTTATCATTATTATTATATGCCACCGTTCAATCAATTCCATCTTTAGGTTTTCATATTACAATTTAAGAAGATTTTTGGAAAAGCACAATTTGAAGTGTTTGGTGTATATTCTATAAGTGACATAGTATAGGTATGATTTAATTTTTTATAATACAAATTTAATAAATATTACTTTACAATTGAAATCCTTCAAACATTCTTATTGTTATTTATTATTTATTGAAGGTATTTAATATTAGTAATTAATCATTATATCCAATTGTTCCTGAAACAACAAAAATGTTTTACTGATTTTAAAAAGGTATTTATTTATAGTAAATATTAACTGTTATTACATGCATATTATAATGCAAATATACCCTGTGTACAATTTCTCATTAATTTTTTTCTGTAGGTAAGTATTTTAATTTGTATTAATTAAATTGTTCATTATTATTATTATTATTGTTATTAATTTATTTCAAACTACTGAGTTATGCTATTTGGGTTACATTCTACAATATACATTAATGGTATACAAAACACTAACCTTTAATGTTTCAATTGTCGAGGAATACCGTCTAATTTTTTGTTGAAGAAATTTTACTTTTTTTCTTAAATCATGTATAGTATTTTGTTGTATCATTGGAATGCGTTCCCAATTTTTCTCTGGGGGTTGAAAAGTTTTTTTAAAACTTTCAGGTATTTTAAAGCTCGGATCTAAAAAGAAATATAAAAATATACTTAATGAAAAATAATTGTATGATGATAAAATATAGATATATAAATTAATTTCAATATTTGTTGATGTTTGTATATTTGATTGGGATACATCTAACACACGCGATTCATCGGCATCTAATGTGTGGACTACACATTTTGATGGACCAATTAATTTTTGGAAACCTATATCCTCAGTCACCTCAGGTATAATCTCTTCAGGAAGTTTCAACACATAAGTATGGTCCAATAAATGACTATGAAGTTTTCTTGCTGGCATTCGAGAGGATTTTAATCCTGAATCCATTACTTTTTCAGATAAGCATTCTGTTTTTCATTTACCCGACCTTTGAAAATACTTGGAACAGCAGTATGTGTTAACTTAATGAGATCAGGTCTTTTTTGATAGTCATTAGTAGTAAAATGTGATTCACAAATCAAAATGTTATTTGTGGGTACAAAGTTTTCTCGGTCAAGTGCTTGTATCCACTGTAATCTACGGGTTACGTCCCTAGGAAATCTATCAAAATTCAAAACACAAAATATTAATGATTTGTACAAGTATTCGCAGCAGCGGCAAAATGTACTTTACCAACCGGTTCAAATTAAAAAAACAATACATCGACATACCTGTCTTAGCCCTTTACTACTTGTAAAAATTATAAGTATTATAAATTATAATTATAGCCATAGTCGCGACTCGCGAACAGCAGTGGTTAAGTCCCTTCCAGCTTTCCCTAACTGTTGTATATCCCAACTCAAATAAACTTTTGGAAGAGTCCCGTATGGACCTAAGCTTCAGCCCCCCTCTCCCCCAAATCTCACACTATTTGCTCAATTACTCCTATGATTATAGCATAATAGGCATGGAGAACTTAATTAGTCATAACTCATAACAATCTTAACTAATAAGCAAAAATTATAAAGTTAATTATTCCTACAACTGTCATCTGCCAGCTTCAACTGACACTACCCACGATTATTTAATATTTGCTGGCCAATTAAACCATTTGAAACCGGCTGAAAGGACGCCACTACTCACTAGTCACTACGTCCTAGACAACATTGAATAACTACAACTACTGATAGTAGAGTATAGATATGATTATGTGAATGTATGATTATAACACAAGCAAATAAATCCAATTTGTCACTTACCTGAAGTACTTGATTTTACCATTGCCCACGTACACAACAAGTGGTTGGCATTTTAAAATATATTATGATGTAGACTGTTTCTAATGTTTGATTAAAATTAATATCATAAGGAATCTGTAAATTGTAAGTTTCATTTAAAATAATATATTACCTAATATAATATAATAAAACGTTCAAATGAATTACCATGTGACGGATAAATCGCTTTTACTGATTATACGCTCCCACTTAAGTCCATTATAACACTGTTCGACATACAGTTGACCGCGCTGCTTCACAATATATTTTTTATTTATAGCAATATTATTTTGTTTTTCACTCCGCTTTTGAAAACTACTGGGAAATTTTCACTTTTGACCCCCCAAAGAACCAACTACTTTTTATCAACTGATACAGACATACAGTGATATTATCATATTTTATATATTGATATACTTGTTATTGTTTATATAGTTTGTTATAGACCAGCGGTTCTTAACCTTTGGTCCGGGGTCCCTTGGGGGTCCGCGATACTCATGTAGCCTCAACCCATAACATACATAACCCATACATCAACAAGTGACAGAGTGCATTATTACAATATTATTGGATTATTATTTTTTTTTTTAATATATACTTTTGTAACTTATGTAACTTTTTGGTTTAACAATTAAATACATAGGTAGGTATAGTAATATGTAAATAATATTGTAAAATTACATTGAATAATAGAGGCCCAAATTGGACTAAATAAGTAAAACATAATTTACAGAAATGTATGCAGGATTATAATAATTTATAATTTACCTAGCGTAGTAAATTTAACACACATCTGATCATTAGTATCATAATATTAAATAATTGATAAGATATTTTTATGGAGGTAAAACTAAAAGATAATATTTTTGGCCCAAGTTAAACCATGCCAAACATTATTTTTTATCACCTATCAAATTGTATATAAAACATCTCATTCAATGAGTGTTAGTGTAAGTTTTCGAACGTCAGCTAAACGATAGATATTAAACATAAAATTAATTAATAACAATTTATAGTTAGGTTCAAATTTGATGCTACGACACTACCTACCTAGTACCTACCAAAGTGAATTAAAATATTGTTAACATAAGAACACTAAATTTATTTCACATTAATTATTTCATAATAATTGACAAGAGACCGTTATGGAGGTAATATATTTGCCCAAGTTGGCCCATTCGACGTTACCTTGTACCTATAGGTACTGTAATACTGTGTAAGTACGTGTAACTGGTATAGGTAAGCACTAGGCATATAATATTATTTTAACCGGGTATCACACTCAAAAAGTGGCTTAATATGGTAGGTAAAACTTGTCTTAGTGACTGAACATTGAGTGTAAAATATAAATAAAATATCGTTTATTGCAATTTTATTTTAAGACGAATGATGAACGTTCAAATAAAAATGTGGGCCAGTGGATACAGCTACACAGGCTTCATTAATTTAAAAATTGTAATTATGCACCTACTTTATAATTAATTAATTAGCTAAATCGAATACGCAAAATATATATATACGTCATATATTTAACTGTGATGACTGGAAATAGATTTTTATACTACCTAGCATTGTCAGCATTCAATACGACATACCAATATTGATGTGTAAATAGTAAATATAGGTACCTACTATAAATATATAAAATAAAAAGAAATACCTACCAAGTTGCAAGTACCTGAATAATGAACAAATCATGTTTTAAAATGCAATTAACAAATTTTTGATTTTAACAAATTATTTCAGAACTAAAAAGTAAAAAAAAAAATCATTTTTTGTATTTGAAGATTATTTCAAATACTTTTGAAAAGTATTTGAGTGTTACTCAATTTATTAATTTAGACACCTAATTGAGTACCTACTTACACATACTATGAATTTGGTGCATTAAATTCCAGTGTTCAAGTATTTTTCCAGTTTTTTTTCTTATGTTAGGTATATTTATGTTATTTTGTAAGGTATTTTATTACTGTATGCGCGCTCGATGCTTGGTGTATCAAGCGAAACACCAAGTACACCCTCACGCCTATAAATAATAATACAGTGAGAAACAAGTAAGGTAATAATACAGTGTTTATTGTAAGCCTCTAATGGTTATAACAATGCTTGATACATGGTGATGGCAATAACACCAGTGTACATTGCAGTGTACTATGTATAATAAGCCTGGTTAGCTAATCATAATAGAGAAATATAATAATAATGTAAAAACCAATTGAATAATAAGCCTGGTTGGCTACTTAAACTATAATAAAGTATGCCTGTTGGCAAATTACAACAATAATAATATGAGCCTGTTGGGTGTAATACTAATTTGAACATAAATGGTCAACCAATACTCAAAAAAACATAATAATGACAAACGGTGCCAACATATGCCCCCCTTTTGAAAGGGAAATGCCTTTCAAAAATTACAACAACCGTGGACTATTTGACTGACTAAATATGACAATTTGAATACATGAACCACAACAAATAATTAACAATCATTACAAATGAGCAAGGAATACAATACAAACATTTTAGGACGCGTTCTGCCCTTCTCAGTGGGTAGAACAGCCAACTTGGTTGCTGGACGCTTGAACTCAGACCCTGAAGAATTCCGTACCGTGACTGCTTGTACAATTCCATCAGGGCCCGGATGTAGTTTGGTAACACGAACTAGGTCCCATTACAGTGGTGGGCTGTTGTCATTCTTCAGAACTGCTAAGTCTCCTACTTTAATGTTGCGAGTGAGTTTGGTCCACTTGCCATGTCGTTGACACTGGGGCAAATACTCAGAAGACCATCGTTTCCAAAAATTCTGTGCTTGTGCTTGCATGAGTTTGAATCGACACAGACGGTTCTGTGGAATGCCTGTACAATCTGGTTCAGGTGAGAGCTGTTATGGACTCCCTATCAAGAAAAGGCCGGCTGTCAAAGCATTGAAGTCAGAAGGATCGCTTGACAGTGGTGTTAATGGCCGTGAATTCAACACTGCTTCTATGCGGCATAGTAATGTGGTAGTCTCATCGAACGTCATCATAACATCTTTGGAGACAAATGGTTTTTAGCTGACTTGACCGTAGCCTCCCACATGTCACCAAAGTGAGGTGCTGACGGTGGTATGAAATGCCAGTCAATGCTTCGGCTGCTTAAAAAGTTGTATACTTTGGTACTCTTTTGGCATTCTTGAATATGTGTTTGCAGGATTTGGTTTGGTTGGTCCCGTTATCGCTGAAGAATTCTTGACATTGCCCAAGGCGAGCCATAAACCTGGATAAGGTGCTAATGAAATTGTCTGCTGACAATGACGACACTAACTCGAGACGTATTGCTGTGGTTACTAAAGAGATGAAAACGCACACGTAACTTTTCAGAGGAGTAACCTTCCTCAATCCACTTCGCACCATGACCGGGCCACAATAGTCTACACCAGTTTGTGCAAAAGGTCTTGCGATGGTCACTCTCTCACGTGGAAGGGGTGCCATGAATGGGGATACAAATTTAGAATTGGTTTTGAAACATTGAATACAGCGACCTACAGTGGATCTTGCTATGCACCGACCTCTAATGACCCAATAATGATTATTGATATGCGCTAAAAATGCCAATGGTCCCACGTACAGTAACCTGACATGTTCATATTTGAATAGTAATCGAGTAACTTGGTTGGTGGATGGTAATACGATGGGATGCTTCATGGAGTTTGCTATGGAAGCATTCATCAAACGACATCCAACACGAATAAGTCCAGCCTCGTCATTGAATGGACCTAACTGTTTTAAGCAACTGCAACGGGAAACTTGTTGTTTGTTTTTTAACACAGAATAGACTTCAGAAAATGCTACTGCTTGAGCTTGTCGCAACCAGTGATTCCTTGCTTTTTGTAACTCTTGCGATAGAATGAACCCAAGTCCCAACACACCGGTTTTCTTTACACTCTTATTTTATCCGACAATTTGAAATAAACCGCATAAAAAGAGTTGAGATCCACAACAACTTCATCCAGTCTGAATATGATTCTAACAACCAAGGTGAAGCTACTTGGGATGCTGATAAGACAAATTTCACAGGTTTAACTTCAGGCATCTCTGTTGGTAACGCTGGACAGTCTGGCCATGCAGTTGACTATTGACTTAACCACGGTGGCCCATGCCACCAAAGAGTGGAGACCGCGCTTGAACTTTAAGGACAAGTTCGGCTAATGTCACAGCGCCATATAAACTCGAGCCTCGGTATGGTCGTGGCCTTCATTGGTGCAACCCTGGACTTTGATGTGTACGAGTGTACATACACACTGCAGTCACGTGCGACCGACCTCAGGTACAAACATGCACCAAATGCCAATTGAGAAGCGTCGCAAAAGCCGTGTATTTGAAGCGGTTCAAATCTCTCAGAGATATCAGGCAAGCATTCGATCCTTACACGCACTTCGTTGATGTTACCAGTTGAAACATCAAACTGTGACAATAGTGCTGCAAGTTCAGAGGCGATAGTCTTTAGTTTCTTCTTAATCGCTTTGGCAGCCATACCTGTTTTTACAAAAAGAAGTGTTATGTATCAAGTGCTTATCTCACAATAGAAATAATAGCAAAAAACAAGTTAAGAAATTACAAAATTAACAATCCAACCACGGTGATTGTTGACTGATTTTTACTGACAGCGTGGTTTAGACTTAATTTGCCCTACAAGACAATAATTGGTTGACTTAAAAATAAACTATTGGTACTGTCAGTCTATGATTTACAACTTTTGATTGTTACAGTGATTAAGTAAACTACAATAACCTGTAACACACCAGAGGGAAACAACAAACCAACTATTACACTTACAAGTTTAACATATCAGCAAACAACTTGATAAGAATTAAATGTATCACGTCGAGGTCACCAAAAAATGTATGCGCGCTCGATGCTTGGTGTATCAAGCGATACACCAAGTACACCCTCACGCCTATGAATAATAATGCAGTAAGAAACAAGTAAGATAATAATACAGTGTTTATTGTAAGCCTCTAATGGTTATAACAATGCTTGATACATGGTGATGGCAATAACACCAGTGTACATAGCAGTGTACTATGTATAATAAGCCTGGTTAGCTAATCATAATAGAGAAATATAATAATAATGTAAAAACTAATTGAACAATGAGCCTGGTTGGCTAATTAAACTATAATAAAGTATGCCTGTTGGCAAATTACAACAATAATAATATGAGCCTGCTGGCAATTAATGACAATAATAGTATGAGCCTGCTGGCTATAACAATAATAATGACTAGAGCCCGTCGGCTACAACAATAACAATAACAATATGAGCCTGTTGGCTGTAATACTAATTTGAACATAAATGGTCGACCAATACTCACAAAAACATAATAATGCCAAACGGTGCCGCCGAGACGGGAACGTTGATGCGACCACACCACCGCCTGTAGAAAACACAACCACGAATCACCCGTCGATGCTTTGACCACCCTAGATTGGGAAAAAGCCGTTAGAATAATTGTTGTACCTATGTTTATACAGTTACCAGACAATGCGTGTACCGAGTGCATGTATTGTGATACACAATTGCACTGACAAAAACGTGGTCTGTGGTCGGCGGCAGCACAGGAACGATGAACCGACAAAAGGTGCCTGGACGGCGGTTGAAAAAAGAGTGTCAAAGGTGCTTAAGATTCAAGCATTTTTCTCGAACGAACAAATTACACACGCACACGTGAATTTAGCAACGAAAGTGACGGTGACGGTTGACTACTTGACTGAAGGAACACAAATTATAGTGGTTTTCTCCCGTGATCAACACAACACAACAAACCAGATAACAAGACAAGCACACGATAACAGTCGTCAGTGATAAGCACCGTCTAAACTCTAAGCACTCGGGACGGCACTGTAACCGGTGTCTTATCACCATTCACCACTTGCGCACCGCGCATTGACATTACGCTACGCTCGCCTTTATTTTTGTATTCAAATCATTATATTCGTTTCGTATTATTGTCTATACGACCTCTATGTTATTATTGTTCTTTGTACAGCGAACGAGCTTGCCCCCCGCTACGCTCGGCGGCAACGTCTCGCGCTACGACGCCGTTGGCCGCCAAACTCTCGTGTCTCGTTCCCTTTTCGCGCCGAGCTCAAACGCAACGCACCGCGAAGCAGCTAAAACCGACGCTCCGAGTCCGTGACTTGGCCGCAGTGGCGTAATTAGGAATTTGATTGTGGGGGGGGGGGTATACGTTGTAGCAAACATGAATGGTCATTGTCAATACTTTGATCAAAATGTTAGAAGTAAAAAAAAAGTTTTTGGGTAGATCTATCCCCCTCTCTAGTTACGCCACTGCTTGGCCGTACGCTTTTTCGTACCGCGTTCGTTTCGCGCACTCACGCGAATTTTTGTACATCCCGTACTGCGTACGACATTTTATATTTTTAACTGAATTATTTAATTATTGTTTTTTAACAAATCAACCTTGACGCTCTCGCGGCACACATCGAACACTCGTCTCTTTTTATTTAACTAGTATTACCCCTATGACGAGAAGTCAGGGGTAAGTGTAGTCGCAACTGGTCAACCTCCCAAACCACGGGGCTTCTACACTTACCAAATCAACATTGTTAATAAACAATCTTTATTATCTATGCACGTCGACGAGCAATCCGTGCACGATCGTGCATAGATAAGAGCGGCTGCTACAGATAAGAGTACTTTCAACCTTGTGGTAATGTGATATGCGCTTATTTTGCCACTTGCTTTTACTTTTCAGTTTTTTGTCTTATTTTTTTTTTTGTAATTAAAAATTCCTAGTTGTATAGTTTGGGGGAAAACGAGCAATGCCAAAGCTAAGTCGACTAACATAACTTTTCATGGGTATGTTGTTTTGTGAAATTAAGTCTTTGTTTTCAATTTTGTTTAGAAGTAAATAATTATGAAAGACTTTTACTTTAACTATTTATTTCAGATTTCCTCTTAAAGATACATACAAGAATAAATGGTTCAATTTGTTTGCAAGAAAATGTTAAAAGACTGTTATCTACTAAGACATGCAGTTCCGTCAAAAGTTGTCAGAATGAAATGTGTAAGTGTACATATTGAGTAGATTTTAAAAAAAACAAAGTAACCCTATAACGATTAGGTATCTAATCTGTATTCATTATTTTAGGCTAGACAAGAATACCCAGAAACTGCAACTACCTTGCCTGAAATTAAACCGAATTTAATTCAGGATGAAGCATGTTATCCGCTTAAATCTAATGGTAAGCATAAAGATTTGATTACTACTTGGACAAAAACAATAAATAAATATTACAATATATTAACCTCTATTCAAGAACAAATAAGCGATATGGACGTAACCAACACGATGGACACCATGGCGGAGCACATGGAACAGCAGTGGACAGCCGCCTGGGTCAGCTGGATGTCGATATACCACCTGCTGTAGGACCTGGTTAGGGCAGCAATCTATCGCCGTGGTTGGGCAAACCCGACTATTAGTTATTATTACAATGGTAAAAATGTTTTGCGTTTTACGACGAGATGCGAGCCTCGGTTCGACCATTCCTGTACTATAATATTTAGTGTATGTTATAATATATTTTATTACTTACCATTATATTTTGCTGTATATATATAATATATATTCACCATTTGGTTTAAACTTTCAGATAATTTGGGATTCATTTATGCAAACAAATTGTATCGTTGAATCTGAAAAAATTGCATACACAAACTTGCAACCAGGGTCCACTACTGCAACATATGGCTGTGACAATTTGAGTTTTACAACTGATTCAAAGCAAACACCAATTTTACATGTATCGGTTTTAAAATCATAAAGTTTGTGAAGTGAATAGGTAATGCACTTTTAAAAATAAGAGATTATATACCTGCCATCTGAATTGTGTTGTCTACCACTTTGCAAATTTGAATTTTTAAGATTCTTCTTATGATACTCTGGTCTTATTGTTTTAATATTTAAATAATTATATCTAATTGTTTTAAAAAAACAATATTTACATTATTTACTACTTGTTTGTGTAATAAGAATTTGATTATGTACTGAAATAAACAGGGTTCAAAATAACACTGTTATTAAAGTAATATGAGACTCTTAAAATGCACATTCAATGAAACTGCCCACAATATAATATTATCTTCCCTATTTTATTGTGTAATTGATAAACTTTTTGGTAAAATAATTTTTAACTATTCCTGATTAACTACATACTTATATATCTAAAAATAATAATTAGTATTTATTATTGAATGATAACTTTTTAGATGTTGTTAATAATCTTGTTAAAGAACTATGAATACTAATTTAGTACTTTTAGTATTTTTTCACTAGTTTTAATATTTATGTAAATGTTCGTATGCATACCGCGTTTAATTAATTATTAATTTTATAGTTATTATTATGTATTTTAATATGTAATAAGTTATATCATAATACTTACGTATTCATTATTTTTATTGTTTAATTTAATTTACTACAATAAACAAAAGATTTTTTTATAAACAGTTGTTTTATTTAATGTTTTATACCTAGTATATGTTTTTTTTTATAGTAATATGCATGTGTGTAATTTGAATGATAATTTATTCCTGAAAACTAAAAATGTATTTACAAAAGTGTTTAAAGGGTTAATGGCATTAAGTATTTCCAATTATTGTAATAGTATATTGTTATATTTTTGCATGCAATAATAATTATTTATGAATATATTTCATTGCTGGGAAGATGGGTCTGACCGAATGTACATAAAATAAAGCCACAAAAGAAAACATAACAGGAACATAATAATATTATTTGATAGTAATTAGTAGCCATTAACGTAGTAGGTATAGTGTTCATAAAAACATTAATGTAGTGTTTCAATAAGACTTTTCAGGTAATACAAAATATCTGATAACAGCTACACATATTACATAATATAGTATTTTTTATGTTTTACAAACAACAGCTTAACGTATTTCTGTGATGTTTTTGATATTTTTTTGAGAAGGTATGTTCTTTTTAAATAAATGTTCCAATATTGTGCATATTTATCTTAATATCTTACTTATTACTACTTTTAAAATCATAATTGTAAGTCATGACGTCATGTATCACAATTGACAATATGAACAAAATAACTGTAATACAGCGTCGATTCATAATTTGAAAGCTGGGTGAGAATAACGTGCTACCTATGTTACTACATTTCTGATTTGATTCTTATTTGTGTCCTGTGCTCTTGATTAATAATCAGTAATCACGTCACCGTACACTGTACAGGTAAATTGTATATTACGTTTATACGATGATTTAGGAGTGTTCATATTTCATAGTACGGAAATACTTATTGTTCGCGCCAAGCAATATTATTGCTTATCGCGGGACGCTAATCTGCGCGACGGCGACATCTTCCCTAATCTTCCGTTCACTCATCCACCGTTCATCATGCCATTACTATTGTAAACGATTCTTATGATTATTATAGGTAATTGTATGATTGTTGTATTGTTTCATATTGTGTA